CAGGAACCACAGGTTCAGGCACAGCAGGATCCAAGGTCAACACTGGCGCTTTCCTTCCTTCTCTCAATTCCACTCCTCAGGTGGCCTGATTCCAAGGCAGACTTGCCCCTCAAGGACATCAGAAGGCTGCCGCTCAGTTCCAGCTTCCTGGCTGTCATGCTGAAGAGAAGAGTCTGTCTGGGTGGGAGGAAGGAAACATCGCTTTGCAACAGCTCCAAGTGTCTCAGTGAAGCCGGGCCACGAGTAGGTAAAGGGTCCATCCATAAACCAATCGCTGTGGAAGGAGGGCTACGCTGATGCTCAATCAGGTCCTCCCTTGGATGGAGATGGCCCAGCCCATCTGAGTTCCATGGAGTTCTGAGCGAGGCTCCTGTGCAGGGGAGGCTGGGCAGTGGGTCCACAGGGTCTCCAGGGTCTGCCTCCAGAGCGCCAGGGCGGCCCCTGGGGCGGCCCCGGTCCAGGCTCAGAGACGAGATAGCAAAGGAGACGACGAGATAGCAGGTCACCGGGTGACCTGCTGGTGGAGACAGAGATGTGGGGGAAGGGGCTCCCGTCGTGTAGGTGTGACAACCAACTAGGAGGACACTGCATGGGGCCTCTAGCCTCTTATGGGGGCAGAGAATGAAATGTCCTCTGAGGTGCCTTCTGAGCCTCTTCCTTTTGTGACCCAGTGACTACAGCCTCATGCTGCACACCCTGCCTGGATGGTCCAGGGGTCAGACCCCAGCTCTGAGGCTGGGACATGTCTGCCACCTCTGGCTGTAAACCCTTCTCTGTGAGTCTCAATGTTCTTTCTTATAATATGGGGATGGTGGCAGGCTTCAGAGCTCATAAGTGCCCACGGCATGGGTGTGATGTCCCCTGGAGGGGTGGCCCGGGAAAAATGGGCTTCCCATTACAGCATTAAGGCTGTGAGAGGAACCCTGGGGGTTTTGGTGGCTTCCTTGCCCTCAGGGTTACAGCTCCCGCTTCCTGGCCCATCTCCAGCTCACCAGGTCCCTAAGACCCACTGACTCAGCATGGCAAAGGTACACAAAGGGGATCCAACCCCACAACCCACAAGCTTCCCTATTCCTGACACCCTGAGTGTGGCTGGAGTAACCACTGAGGTGACTACTCACCCTGTAGATGCTGGCAGCCAGCAGTTCCTCCCTAGAGGCTACACAGGTGGTGTACAGGACAGCTCTTTTGTCCTCTTGGGCAGGTGGGGCCAGTGTTGCAGGGAAGTCATCCTCGGACAGGCCATATCCTCCCAGAAGTGAGAGCCACTCTGGCCCACAAGGAGGCTTATGTCCTCCTCTGCCTGGTTGGGGTGGGATCAGTGATTTCCAAGAAGGGTTTGGGCCCAGAGAACCAAGGCTGCAGATTGTTCTTATAACCAAGGAAAAAGATAATCCCTGCTCAGGGTAGCCCTGGCTTCCTCACTGCCTTTCATCAGCAGGCAGCTCACAGAGCCACTCTGAGCCTCCCCTCCCCTCCTGTCTCAGCCCTCTTGTCTGAGCCTCAGTGGGTTCCAAACCAGCCTAGTGGATGAGAGGCACTATTGGCCTGGCCTGGGCCTCATTCCAGTTCTGCAGCTCACCTGCTGGTGAGGCCCGGGGCAAGCTGTTGAACCTCCCTCTGCCTGTTTTCATCCTCTGTGACAGGGACATGTCAAAGTAACCCTTCCATACAGGGATGCGGTAGGACTGGACACCTGACACACTGCAGAGACTCAATCAATATGACCCAGTATTGTCAATTTGCTTGCTTGTCACCTCTCCTCCTTATCCTTTTCTTAGGCCTCAGTTTCCCCTGTGTAAAAGGGATGTGGAATGGCAGTGTGGAGCTAGGAAGAGAATGTGAACTGTGTTGCACAGACCTAACTGTTTTCTAATCCTGGGCTTATCACTTCACAGCTTAAGGACCTCAGGTAAGTCATAGAGCCTCTTTCAGCTCCATCTTCTATGCCCACAGATTGTGAATGATGTACCCTGAGGAGGATCAGTCCTGTGCCTGTGGACAGAGCCTAGGGCCAGCAACCACCCAGAGCTGCCCTCTGCCCTCCTCCTCTGTCACCCAGCGAAGCCACTCCTCAGCTCCTCCAACATTCCTTCTCCATGCTGTGTGACAGATCACAAACCCTGTGACTGAAGCAGCCCAGGTTGATCAGCCCAGCTCCCATGGCCAGGAGCCAGCCAGCTCGTCCCTGTGCTCAGTGCCTGAGGTCATTGTATCCCCAGTGGTGCTGGAGGACATGACCTCAGATCTTGTCAGCTTCTCTCCCGTAACCATAGGACCGAGCTCCCCATTCCTTGCTGGCTGTCAGCAGGGACCACTCAGCTACTAGGGGGCTCCTGAGGTCCCTGCCTTGGGTCCTCTCCATATCCTCTGCCAGCCTCTCTCCTGCTGTGACTTTTGTCCCTCAGGAAGGGTCCAGCCCTTCTGGGGGGCCCCTGTGATTATGTCAGGCCCAAGCTCTCAGGGTCCCTCTCAAGTGTCACCACCCAGGAGGCCCCTGGTCTCCCCTAGCTTTTGTTCAGTTCCCGGTTTCCTTTCACTCAGTACCTACTTCATCATGGTGGAGAAATGCAGACGGGGCAGTTAACCCAGGGCAGGTGGCTAGAACCAGTATCCTGGGTCCTAATCCTGCATCTGCTCGTAGGAACCAGCTGTGTGACCATGGTTGTGCCACTCTACTTGTCTGTGCTTAACTGTCTCACCTACCAGATGTGGATCACCACATCCAGCAATTGTCCTGTGATTCCCACGTTTCTCAGGACCAGCAATTGTCCTGTGATTTTCTGTGTCCCATCACAGGCAGGAAGCCTGCCTGGTAGAGTACAGAGACGGTGACCAGAGACTGTTAGAGCAGAGGCCAGAGAGGCGGCAGGGAAGGGGACTCAGGGTGTCCCTCTCAAAAGGACTCATCACCACCCAGCATGGGAGTGCCCAGGGGAGGGACTGCAGACAGTGTCCCACGTCATAGCTCTGAGCAGGGCCTGCCCTCTGAGTCACCCACTAACGTGGGCTGAGGAGTCTTATCACAAGCCAAGTGTGGCCAGGGATGGTCTTTGAGGTCCCCAAAGCCATGTAAGCTATGACCACATCTGATGTGTAGTCTGGGCTGCACTGGGTCAGGTGGAAGAGTGGAGAGCCCCAAGGACGTCCCAGTCATGCACCCACTGTCCACTCTGGGCCAGCTTTGGCCTGGCAGGAGGGAAGCCTGGCCCACTCTGCATGGAGTCTGTGCTGCTCAGTGTGACTTTCTACTGGCTCTTGCAGCGTGTGGGGAGGGAACTAGAAGGAGCAAATGCTGCATCTGCGTCAATCTGCGAGCACCACCATGGCTGGAGGGAGAGCTTGGGAAGGGGGCTGGCCAAAGTACCTGTACATACTGGAGGAGGACCGAGGCTTTCACTTGCCTGTGTCTTCCGTGTGTTCTGAAAGTAGGAGAGGGCTGCACCTTCCCTAGAGGACCGCCCAGGGGATGTCAGGCCCTTGGAGTGCTCTTGCACAGGAGGCCAGGGAAAGGCCAGGGTGTCCTGGCTGACTCAGTGACAGCAGTAAGAGGAAGGTGCAGCAGGGGGCGCCTCCGCCCTGGCCATCTGCACAGGGATCCCTAGAAGCCTCAGGAGCCCTAGGGCTGCCCTTTTCTGGAAGAACAAAGGCAGGGAACTATAGCAGTGCTGGAGGAAAAGGAAAGCTACAAATCACTCTATGTCTTTTTCCTTTGAGCCTCAGTTTCCCCTCCCTACAGGGGGACTGCACACCCTTTACAAAGCAGTTGTAAGGTCAGATCGGGTGGCTATCGGGGGCAGCATGGTCTTGAGGCGACAGCAAGGACTTGATGGGCAAGCAGACCAGATGTGGGTCCAGCCCGCACGAACTGTGACCTTCTCCCAGGCCCGTTTCTGAAGTGTGTGATGCCCACCTGTCAGGACAGGCCTGAATAGGAGACCAAATGGGAGCAGAGCTCCTGGACAGCCCCAGGGCCCAAGAGGCAGCAGTGGTCATTTGTAAACTGCAGAGAGCTGTGTAAACTCTGGTCTGCAACAGCAGCCACCCCTGGAGCCCGAGACTCAGTTTCCCCATGTGTAAACAAAGAGTTTAGAGGAAAGGAGCTTTGGGGCCTTCCTGGGTCTCCACCACCCGAGCTCCCTCTCCCTCCACACGCACTCCCTTCTCTAATCTGGGTGTCCATAAACTTGTGTGCAGAAAAAAAGTCTTCATTTTCACCAGCTCCTACCGAAGTCCAGCATGCCATCTGTGGTGAAATTGGCCCTACCACACGGATCACCTGGGGAAGCAGAGTGGTCACCTGTCACCATACTGAGCCCTGGTTGCAGATTCTGGGTCAGAGTGGCTCTTCAGAGAACACATGAAGAACAGTGAGAACCGAACCTGCTTCTGGACTGTCTGTGCACCTCTAGCCTCCCTATGAGGTAGGAAGTGCAATTAGGTCCTCCTCATGGGGTGGGGGACACAGAGCTGCCAGGCAACTCTCAGAGTCACAGACCTGGGAGAGCCAAGCCTGGAATCCCAGCAGAAGGAACAGACTACCCACCTGGGAAACCCATCCTCCAGTCTAAAACTGAGGCACCAAGGGCTGGTTGATCTCTGTTTGGCACCAAGAGCAGAGGTGGGGAGGCAGGAGGTGGTCTGTGGCTGATGTGGCTGGTGCCCTGCAGAGGCTCCGGGTGGAGGGTGGAGGCAGACTGTGGAGGGGTATAGGGTGAAGTCTGGACTCCTTCATTTCTATGGGGGACAGGTGCTGGGACATGGCAGGGACTGGGGAGCTTCCTGGTGGCTCTCCCTCCCCACAGGGGACGCCCCCGCATGATTGTCACCCAGAGTTCCTCCAACTGCCCGGTGGGTCCAGGCCAGGCAGGGTGGGTGGGGTCCTGTGGCGCTGGGGCGGGGCTGGCGGTGGAGCGGGCCGCCCCTTCCAGCAAGGGCGGGCGGGTCGTCGCCTTTAAATGTGGCCGGGCCCGCCCGCGAACCATAGGCCAGGGAGCAGCCCCTGTCGTCCACGCGCGCCATGCCCCTGCGCTCCCGGCGCGCGCCCGCCTGAGCTGCCCGGCTCCTCCGCAGGCGCCTGTCCCGTCGCCTCGGTGTCCCCGCAGGTCCCCGTGCCGCTGCCCGGACGCCATGCAGATGCGCGCGCTGCTCCTGGCCGCGCTGGCCACGCTGGTGCTAGCCCGGGATCCCCCTGCCGCGCCGTGTCCCGCGCGCTGCGACGTGTCGCGTTGCCCGAGCCCGCGCTGCCCCGGCGGCTACGTGCCTGACCTCTGCAACTGCTGCCTGGTGTGCGCCGCCAGCGAGGGCGAGCCCTGTGGCCGTCCCCTGGACTCGCCGTGCGGGGACAGCCTGGAGTGTGTGCGCGGCGTGTGCCGCTGCCGCTGGACGCACGCCGTGTGCGGCACCGACGGGCACACCTATGCCGACGTGTGCGCCCTGCAGGCCGCCAGCCGCCGCGCGCTGCAGCTCTCAGGGACGCCCGTGCGCCAGCTGCAGAAGGGCGCCTGCCCCTCGGGTAAGCTGGGCCTGGGAGGGCTGGAAGTCTTGCCCTCGGGAAACTGAGGCCAGGGGAGGGTGGAGCTCCAGGACCCCACTCTCTGTACCCACTTGAATGGCCCCTTAGAAACCAACCAACCAGCCCTCTGGCCTTCCAGGTGGAGAAACTGAGGCCCAGGACGGTAAATACTGACCACAAGGACGCTGGATGAGTCTAAAGTGAAACCCGGTGCTCTGACCAACTGGAGGACCTGGTCCTCCAGGCTGGAGCCTGGTGGGTTCCAGCTCTGGCCTCATTCAGACGTAAGGTTTCTCCTGGTCCTCACCTGGCTGTCCGGGTGTTGGCTGAGGGCAGCCCATCTGGTCTGCAGCTCTGCCCTAGTGGGCAGTACCATTTTCTTTCCTTCTGCCGTTGGCAAGGCTGTCTCCACAGAGTGATTTGGGGCTATGAGCCTGTGGGGCTGTGTGCAGAGGCTGTTGGGAAGAGAATTCTCAGTCCCAGGACAGCCTCCCTGACCTACAGGTGGCTCTGGGTTGCTTCTTGCCACTCCGGGGTCCCTGTAGTTGGAGCGAAATGGTAGAAAACAGTGCTGTCCCTTTCCTTGTTTAAGGCGTTGCTTGGGAAGGCCGGCTCTGCTCTCGGTTAGACAGTTCTCCTGGAAGCCCAGCTCGGGGTGATGAGCCTGGCCCCTGTGCACCCACTGCTTGCAACTGCGCGACAGGCTGTGAGGGGCCCTGGGAGCACCACGGAAGAGCCCTGGCCACCTGGGGTGCCCGGGAAGCCTGCAGAGTCTTGAAGGAGGGGCCAAGTTTTCCCTGTGCACTGGGGAGAGCGTTCTGGAAAGTGGGAATGGTGTGAACAAACCATGGTTGATCTTGCTGTGTGTGGTGAGTGTGGTAGGAAATGCATATAATCTCAGAGCAGTTGGAAAGATTTAGTAGTGGAGTGGAGTGAGGGTGACACTCAGGCTGGGTTGTTTGGCAGGGGCAGGACATTGACTGGTCACAAACGTTGCTTTGGTGGGCTCCGAGTTCAACCTGTCAAGCAGAGCTGCCCAAACTGTGTCCAGCATTCTGAAAACTAGGGTCCAAAAGGGTTGTCAAGTGAACACTGTTCACAGGCCTGAGCCCATCAGGAGTGGAGACAGAACCTGTGACAAGGAAAATGAGCCAGTGTCAAAGCCAGGGCTTCCAAGAGAACTGTAGCAGGAGCCATTCTTTCCTAGAAGAACATGGGCTCCTCCTGGCACACTGGGTAATGGGCACCCAGTCTGGGAAGCAGAGCATGGGGTTTTGTAGGATTATATGGGTGCGCCATTGCAGGGTTTGGGGGAGGATGTATCAGTCTGTTTAGTGGTGTTACTGAGCCTGGGTAAGTTATGAAGGATGGAGGCTACAAGTCCTAGGTCAAGGCACAGCAGGCTCAGTGTGGTGAGGGGCCCTCCCTGGTTGGAGAGAAAGCTGTGTGCCCACATGGCAGAAGGGAGAGAACAAGCTGGTGGCGGACTGGGGCCAAGGCATGCGTGAAGCCTCTCACAAGCACCTTAGTCCCGTTCACGAGGGGAGGGCCGCTCATGGCTTCACACAGAGCTCAGGTTGGTTGGTTTTGGTGGGACTCCCAGCCCCCATGCAGGAGACTCCATTAGCATAAGGCCCTAGGGTCCTCCCAGGGTGGACAGGGGCTAGAGGTGCCTCTTGTTCTTGAGTGATGGAGCCCACATTGGTGACAAACCTGTATACCTGGCTACCCTGGGCTGTCAATTAAGCAGACATCATCAGTACTTTTGGGAACCACAGACCCTGAGAAACACACAGGGAGGGGAGAGGAGGAGACAAGCCAAAGGACCTCACACAGTTACAGGCAGCTGGCAAAGGCAGCATGTGGCTGTGAGCATGGGGACCTTGGGCAGGGCTGCAGCCATTTCTGCTGTCCCACCATCTTCTTATCTTGGTCAGATTTATCCTACCGCCCTCAGTTTCCCTGTCTGTAAATGGGCTGATGTCAGCCCCTATGGAGAGACCTGATGTGAGGACCAAGTAGCCACATTAGGGGCACATGCCCAGCTCCGGTGTTCTTTCCTGTAGTGTGACCACTGCTGTTGTTGCAGCAGGGTCTGTGTCACCTGGCATGGCGCCTTGCTGCTGAGCCAGCCGACATGATGAATGGGGGTGGGGGAGGTCCCTGGCAAAGATGGGGAGTGCAGAGGGGCCTGGTGGAACAGAAGTAGAGGATGGGCCCCAAGAGCCCTTGCTGCCATGAGAGCTCAAGGTGCCAGGGAGGTGGGAGAGAGAGGCAGGTCAGCCTCTGACCTTGAGTCTGACACCAGCCCATGGTCTGCCTTTGGCTGGGCTGTTCCAGATGCTGCCCCATGCTGGGGGAACCTTCACGGCCACTGTGTGCGGCCCTGCCACCATCTCCTAGTGTCCAGGGTCCTCATACACTCAGGTCACAGCAGGGTCACATGTACGAAGGTCTCTCCATGCCAAGTAAGGCCAGAAAGGATGGCCTGACTGTCCGAGGTCACACAGCCAAGAAGTGGCCAGATTTGGTCTGAGTCTGGGAGGCTTTGAAAGCTATAATATGGGGCCCCAGGCTTCCTTCTGCAGGGCAGCAGGGCCCCTGAGGTCTGGAGTCAGGTTCAGGCTCAGCTTGGCAGAGTTTCTTGCAATGTCCACCCCTCTGCCCTCCTGAAGGCACAGACAGAAGGGCTGGGAAATGTCCACACATATCTGTGCAAGGCTGTGCCCTTGCCAGGCACTTCTGAGATGAGGTCCTGCTTGGTGAGGACAGCCCTCCTACCTGAGCCAGCTATGTCCACTCCCTGGACAGAGGGTCCTTCTGTATCCCCCCGTGCCCTTCTGTTGACCTGTACAGGTAGGAGGGCTTCCTTGACTCCTTCTCACCCCCAGCTGAGCTGGTCCAGTCCCCTGCCTTTAAATGCTGCCCAGAGCTGGTGACTCAGGGCCTGGAGGAATGCATCAGCCTCAGTGGCCTGGCTCATCCCCAACTCCTGTCTTCCCAGCTCAACCTAGCATCTCTCTGGGATGTCAAAGTCAGAGCTTTAGTCACCTCTGAGTCTCTCTTTCCCCTTGTCCCCCACCTCATCATCCACCATGAGTGTGGCCATCACTGAGCTCCCTCACAAAGCCCAGGTGCTTGGGCTCCATACAGTGCACTAATGAACCCCGAGCAAGGTGGCAGCTGAGACAGGGCGACTCCAGAGGCTTTGTGGTCTCAGCACTGAAGGCTGGCAGTGGAGGCCAAGTCAGCCTCTGCCATCTTCCTCCTTCTTCCATTGCTTCTCTGCCCAGTGGCTAGATGATCTTGATGGATCTCTCCTGCTTGTCCCAACCAGACCCCCTCCAGTAGCTTCTCAACACTTGTGGTGACTCTCACGTCTGTGCACCCACCATGTGGCCCCCACCGGCTCCTCCACTGTCATCTCAGGCCACCTTCTCATCCTCTGTGCTCCCACCTCAGGGCCTTTGCACATGCTGTGCCCACCGCCCATTTCCCTTCCCTCACCTTCACATGGTCGGTTCCTCTTCCTGCCTTGGCCTAGGTCCGCTGTTCTGAGCCGCCTTCCCTGCCACTATGCCCTGGCCACTCCTCACTAGCCTTGTGACATGGCCTGCCTTAGCTATTTGTCTGCTTTCTCTTTATGCCCAGACTCTGGGCCTCACGGGATAGAGACTCAGTGCACCTGTGTGCACCTGGCTGCACACAGTAAGTGATGGATAAATGGATGACCCCTGTGATTCGTGGGTCTCCTTAGCCCTCCCTGCTCCCCCTGGGAGGCTCTGGGGACCTCCTGCGCATGGAGGCTGGGTGTTCTCACAGTGGGGGAGGCCTGTCGGTGGGATGGTGCTTAGCAGTCTGGATTGGGAGTCACCTCCCTTCTCCCTTGCCAGACCCCACGCAGCATCCCCTCTACACAGCAGACACGCAGGCTGTGGTGTGCCTGAGTTCCACACGTGCAGCCCCAGAGCGGGCTCAGGTCGTGTGTCCCCAGACTCATTTATGGGAGAGGGCTGGCTGGCTTCTGCTTTCCAATCCTTCAGCAGCTTCCTGGGGCTGCACATGTGTTGGAAGTCAGCATTCACGACTAGTCAGGCAAGATGACGTAATCCCTTGGTCCCCCTCTACCTCCCACCTGGGACAGCAGAGCAGGGCTGCAGTTCCGGGTGTGGCAGAAGCTCCGCACTGCCTCTGTGCAGAGCTGCACAGGCAGCTGAGAGCCCCAAGAGTCTCTGCCACGGTTCTGAGACCAGGAGTCCATCCAAGGAGGAGTGTGAGGTCCAGGCATTTGTGCCACTGCCCTTCCCCGCCAGGGCTTGGCCTGAGAAACGCACCTCATCCCTGCCGCTCTGTATGCTGGCCTGGAGGTCAGAGACAGTGGGGTCCTGCAGCTGTCCCTCCCCTCCCCCCACCTTGTCTTTCCACCCAGGCTTTCCCTTTTCATGCCCTCTATGGGGTACCCAGCATGGCTTCCACTGACCAAGCACAGACCTCCAGTGTGCCTTGCAGGTTGGCTTCACCAGTCATCTGCTGCCTGCTTACTGTCATCACAGCAAGAAGGTCCCCTGTGCAACCCCTCACCCCATGCAGAACCCAGACAGGAGAAACCAGATGGAAAGCGGAGAGCAGGGAGGACTTTCTGGAGAGGGCAGCACCAAAAGAGCCTGGCAGAGAGACATATGCAGAAGAGAAAGGCAGCAGGGAAGAGGGAGTACCTGGGCTGATGTGGGGCTGCAGTGCCCATCCATCTATGGTGCTGACCACCACCTTAGGCAAATGTGCCTTCTAGCAGGGCACACAAGGACCTGGTGTCCAGGCCCTACTCACTGAGCAGCCTCTCCTCCTGCCACTCTCCCGAGCCCAGTGCCATTCCTGAGACACACGCTTCTAGTGCCACTTGCTTTTGCACACCAGTAATGTCCTTCCCCTCATCTCTCAAGGCCAACGAGGGACCGACACTGACTTCTCAGGCCCCATGATGACTATGTCCGTTTTTTGGCTCAGCGGCACCTTGTCGCCTCCAAAGTATCTCTCTGGCCTGTCCCTGAGTCCTGGTCCACAGCAGTGAGCAGGGAGTAGAGTGGCTGGGTAGATGAATGTGTGCTCTACAGGGACAGAAGTGTTGCCCAGCCTAGCAGCCTCCAGCCCTGCCCACCGCCAGGCCAGGCTGTGAAAGCCCAGGACCCACCTCTGCCAGGCTGCTTACTTCCCAGGACAGCTCCATGTTTTCCCTCCTCTCGAAAATCTGCCTGTCCCCTAGCGACCTGCGTCCCCCCAGCAAAGAACATCTGCGTGGGATCCAGCTGTGGCTCCCAGCAGGGACCGATACTGCTGTCTGCAACTCCAGGCTCACATCCTGCCCAGGGAGCTCCAGGTCGGGGAGGTGGCTGCCCAGGCGTAGGACGGAGGCGCTGCCTCCCCTCATGGCACAGCTGGCAGGCAGCCAGGCCGGGCACAGGGCACCAGGCTGGGCTTCTGGAGTCTGAGCTCTCACTGGATTCTTGCAGCAGTTCTTCAAGCCAGGAACTGTCAGTCTGGTTTATAGGCAAGGAAACAAGTCTCAGAGAGGTCAGGGGACTCAACCAAGGTACACAGCCAGGCTCTTTCAACCCCTGATTCCTGATATATCCCTGCTCTGTACTGGTCCAGGTGTCCAGCCTCCAGGAGAACCTGGCTTTGGCCTGCCCTGGCTCCTTGGGTGTGAAATTTCAGACCCAGGCAGACTTAGCCCACTCTGTGGAGGAGGTCTGCCACCAACCTGCTGTGCCAGGTAGGACACTGGATAGCCACAGGGCCACCCTTGCCCAGGCAGCCTGGCCTTCTCCTGCTGGAAGCCCTCTGGCTATGATCAGGTTAGGTCAGCTAACCCATGGACTCAAGTTCCTCCCAGACAGGGGCTAATGGGGCCAGTGGACTCCCTAGCAGGGGCTGGCAGGGACAGCCAGTCTGCAAACACGGCTTCTGGCTTTTCCTGGTCCTCAGTCCCCTCCACCCTCACAAGTGCACTTACTCAGGAAACATTACTTGCCAGTATTTAGATCTGTCTGCACTGTCGTTCCTTAGCCCTCACATGGTGCAAAGCCCCGGAGTTCATCATCTCATTAACTGTCTCGGGACCCAGTGAGCAGGGTTACCACTGCTGACCTCATTTCACAGAGGAGGAAACTGAGGCACAAAGGCCTTAGGAGATGCATGGGGTCTTACTACAGGAAGTGGCAGAGTGAGGATTCACCCCTGAGCAGCTGGACACTGGGAACAGAACTGGGTTTCAGTCCTGACTGTGCCCACCACGTGCTGGGGGGCTGAGATACTCAGTTATGCATGTTGTGCCCTGCACCTCTGGGGAAAATGGGTCACACTGACATTTGTTAACAATGGTCCTGGAATTGCGTAGTGTACAACGTCTGAAGCAGTAGAAGGTGGCCCTATGGGGCCTTGGTTTCCTCATCTGGTCCATGAGCCACCACACATCTTCATTCAAGTCCACCACTGTCCCTCAGTGCACCCAGCAGCCCTGCCAGGCAGGAATGGTGGTGGTGGCCCTAGGCCTGGCTTTTCTCGTGGGGGCTCTTTTCCCAGTCTCCCTGCATCTTAACCATGCCCCTTCCTCTCCTGGGAGTCTCAGGCCAGCATATACCTGGCCTTCTTTGCTCTGTGTCAAGCGCCTCCCAACCCAAACTTCCTGGGCCTTTGGATTTCAGTTCAGTTTATTTTTGAAAAAGAAAAAAAAAAAAAAAAACAACAAAAAACCAACAGCTGAGTCTGTTGAGACTGTCTGTGGACTTCAGAGCTTGGCTCCAGGACAGTGTGGGGGTGGGGTTGTCAAAAAACCCCAAATAAACAGTCTGCTTCCCAGCCCTGTGGGAAGAGGCCTTGGGGGCCAGGCTCCCTCCCTGATTCATGGTGACTCATCTGAGTGTGGGGCCAGCTTAAAGGGCCAGGCCCCGCAAGCCTGCAGGTCCTCAACTCCTAAGTCCCCAGTGAATCACTTTGTGTCTGAGCCTCAGTGTCATAAAAATGGGCTGCAGCTGTTGCTCCTTTGAGGATGCTGGGAGCATGGTTAATAGGATGAACGGCTTTCTTGCTTTGTGGTGTGGTTGATGGGCCCACTGTGTGCTAGGGCAGGATGGAGCAGACCCTTTCTCCTCCCTCCATCACTCCAAGGTTGCCTCACCCCGAGCTTGTCACGGCTGAGATATGGGGTGAACCAGACATCTCTGTCCCGGGGAGCTCTTATGCTGGGGATTGTGTTGCCCTTTGCGTGGGGCTGGCGGGAAATGGGCCGAGCCTTCTGTGTTCTACACCTCCCATCCCTGGCCCCTCCACGTCACCCCTGCTCTTCTTCCTGTCTTATTTTACTCTTTGCAATATATCTGAAGATGACTCGTCTGTGGGAGCAAATTGGTGCTCTGTCCTGCCCCTGCAGCCTTGTCCTCATATCTAGAGATTGTCACCTCCAGAGTGGAGTATGACCTATTCTAAGAACTCCTTTAGCCACCGTGCAGCCCAGCCCCAGGCTGAGGGCAGAGCAGCGCAGAGCCTCCATGAGCTCAGGGGTGTTTACCAGGAGGAGAGCCAGTTCCCTCCCTCCCTGTCCTCATAGTCACACTGGGCCCAGCCCCAAGTCTGCCACAGCACAACCTTCCGTGGCCACCTCCATGCCTAGCTTGGGGTCAAGTCACCAGGTGGCTCTGCATGTGCTCTTCCAGGCCGGGGCGCTTCTGGACTCCCCGCTTCATCCCTGGGAGCCTCTGTCCTGCCCCTGGTCACACTGTGCTGTCCTTGGCTGGCTGCTCACTGTCCCTCATTGGCAGTGGACCATTGTGTCCCCAGTACCTTGCAGGGTACTACAGAAGGTGCTGGGCAGGCACACAAGGAAAAGGGCAAGGGCTGGGAGTGGAGGACTCATCACCAGGAGAGACTGCTGGGCTGCCTGGAGGAGGCAGGACGCCTGGCCTGAGCATCTCTGTAGGAGAAAGGGGACATCGTGCAGGGTGGTAGGGAAGGAGTACAGAAGGGGTGATGGTGGCAGAGGTTACCTTATGTGACAAGTGACACTGCATCTGGGCCTGGGTGTCTCTGGGTGCCTCTTTCTGGCACAACATGCTGGGGGCCTGGGACCCCTGTTCACCCACGACAGTGATGGATGCCTTCCCCCCACACACTGGATGGAGGAGGTCTTGGGCTTGGGAACCCTTCTAGGATCCCCCGGGTCATGAGGACTACAGAAGCCAGGCATCTTGGAGACAGCAGAGCCTTCTCTGCTTGGGGGGCTTGATGGTGACCCCAAGTGCCCAGGGTCTATGGGGTGGGGTAGGTGGGCCTGGTATAGCCCCTCAGGGGGCAGTCACCTGTGTCACAAAGTTTCTGGGGGGGTCAGCAGCCTCCTCCATGGAAGTAAACTTGGGCACCTGGGTGGTTAACGTAGCCTTCAGAGTTGAGGAAATTAACCTGGCTATGTGTGGGGATGACATTTGCCCCACAATTGTCTGTGGAACACACACTGCATCCTGTGCCCTTCTTCCAAGGTTGCTGCCCACATGTCACCTCTGTCCCCTGGACAATCTAGAAAACCAGGTTTCACTAGATCCTGGTGGTCTGCCACTGCAGAGAGCCTCAAAGAATCCTCATCTGCAAAGCTGGGCTCTCTGCTCACACGGCCAGGTGGAGGGCAGGGTCGCCCCCACCCTGGGCAGGGAGGGTCACAGTTTGCAAGTTTTAGTCACACAGTTCCCAGAGGCTTCTAGGGGATCACCTTCAGGTGGGAAGTCAAGGCCCAGGAGGGTAAGTGATTTTCCTGAAGCCACAAAGCTGGAAGGCAGCCATGCCCAGCCAAACTCCAGTTGTGTGCAGCTCCCAGCCCAGTGCTCATCCCAGAGCCCAATATCCACTCACAAGCAATGCTGAGCAGTGTGAGTGCCAGATGGCAGAGATCTGGAGATCCCAGAACAGGCCCCTGCCACCCACACGCCTCGGGCCTTGGTCCTGGCAGGCATCAACCCCATTGCTGATGGCAGCAGAAGTCTGAGCTGGCTAAGGTTCCAGGGAAGTTTGTAAACTGCCTGGCTATGCCAAGTCAGTTGCATGTGGAACCTGTCCAGTCAGGACAGCTGCTTGGGCAGCCAGGAGGGGCTTCACTGTGGCCAGGTGGGGATAGCTCAGAAGGGAGGGCCCAGAGATTCTGTTACACCCTTATCAGTTATTACACCAGCTCCAGGGCTTGGAAGGACCCTCCATAGCTAGGGAGGAAAGGGGACACGGTCCTTCGGCAAGGATATTGTTATCATATGACAGCAGTCAAGGGCCCAGAGGCACTGACCCCACATTAGGCGTCAGCATTGATGCTCTGTGGCCCAGTGCAAGGTCCTTACCTCTCTGAACTGCTGGGCCAAGCTCACAAGGCCCAGTGTGTTGTGAAGAAGCTTAGCTCACAGAAGCCCTCTTTAACCATTCCTGGGAGGGAGGGGAAACACCTCATCCCACATGTCTGGGTGTCACCGTACTGCTGAGGGGTGTCCCAGGGGCTCAGCACATGTTGAAGCTGGCTGTGATCCTAGGTGGGGGTTTGGGGTAGAGCTTCCTCCTCCTTGAGCCCAGGAGGGGCTGCTGGGAGCCAGCAGGTCTTGCTGACGCACCTGGTTCTTCCTGCTAGCGCAGGTCTCCACCAGCTGACCAGCCCGCGGTACAAGTTCAACTTCATTGCCGACGTGGTGGAGAAGATCGCACCAGCCGTGGTCCACATCGAGCTCTTCCTGAGGTGTGTGGGGCCTGCCTTGCCCTCAAGGCTTCCCAGTGTCCCCCCAATCCATGTCCATTCCATCTGCTGGGGCCCAAACTAGACTGTGATTCTGGAAGCCAGGGGGAGGGTGGTTGGGGTGCTAGGAAAACGGGAGGCCCAGAAGGCCTTGCTGAAGCGAAACCTGGGGCAGACATTGAGGGGGTCAGCAGATGGGCAGGGATAGCCTCGCTCCAACCAAGGTGCCTAAGCGACATGGCCCGTGCAGCTACAGCAGGAACAAGGGAGGGAGTGCAGTGTGGATGAACGCATGGACCAGCGTGGGAGTGAAGGGATGACTGGATGGAGGAACCCCTCCATAGGAAGGCAGGACATCCAAATCTGGAGAGGAAGCCACTGTGGTGTGTGGTCTGTCTCCCTGCAGGATCTCTCCTTGCAGACATGGGCGGAGCCTCCTTCCTTCCTCCCAAGGGAGCTCCCCACCTCCCCAGATCCCTTCACCGCAGGGATGTCTGAGCTAGGCTAGGAGGCCCTGCCGGGGAGGGGGGTCTCAGCATCCAGTTCTGAGCCCTCTTCCCAAATTGACTGAGACCCCTCCCCCACAAAGCAAAGATGTTAACAGCATGACTTGTCTCAAGTTCATTCCTGCTACCACCTTTCTCACCCCACAGCCCTGCGGGGAGCCTGCAGGTGAGGCCCAGGAGTCAGATAGGTGCCCACTCTATTCTGGAAAGGGTCAGAGGAGACTGGCTGCCAATGGCTTATGTGTCCATCCCACTATGAGCAGTTTCTAGCATGGGTATTCTTGTCGCTGGGTGTCACTCTCCCTCCCCATCTGTGGCCAGTCTAGGGGACAGAGTGTGTCCCATTCACAGTGCTTCAAGGGAGCAGGTAAATAAGCAAGGCTCCTCCCGCACCCACCATAACTCCTGTGTGTCGCTCTTAGCCTGAATTTCTTAAACAGCCCTGGGATGCCCACCTCCTAGAGGAGGGAGCCAGGTGCCCACAGGACGGAGCTGTGTGGGAACCACGGCCCTGGAGGCCCTTATGCCTGCTGCCCCCTTCCCCAGCATGACTGGCAGCTAATAGGCCCCGGCACCTCAGCCCCCCGCCCCTTCCCTTGCTCAGGGCACCTTCCCCCCATGAGCTTCAGGAGGTGGCTCTGTGGTTTCCTCTGTCTAGAGGTAGACGCAGAGGCCTGAAAACTCACCTTGCCCATGGTGGTGGCTGGTGGCTGAGCTGGGATTTGACCAGGGGCTCCCTGTCCCCAGGGTGGAGCCCATCTCTCTGCCACACACTCACCCCTCACTGCCCTTTCATAGGGTCCTGGACCTTGAGTGTCATTGAGAAAATTACAGCTGGGTGTGCTAAGTGGCATGTCACTGGCCATCTGGTGGCTGGGAAGCCACAACGTCTCCTGGAGGGCTTGGGACAGTAGGCCCAGAGCCGGCTAATCACAGACTGCAGTGTGGCTCAGGTGGCAGCAAGATGTCTCAGCCTTGGAAGCAACGATCTGAGTGGGTGGGCGAGGCTGGTGTGGGCCCGATGAGCACAGGAGCCACCAGCTGTGGTAGGCTGGGCCCCGCAGGCTCTCTCACAGCCCTCACTGCTGGGCACAGTGGGCATGGCAGGGCTTTCAAGGAAACAGCTTAGGGTGGAAGCAGGCACAGATAGGAGTAGACAGATGCCACAGTCAGTGTGCAGTGTGGCTGAGTGGCTAGACACTCAGGTCACCTAGCTCTGTCCTGAGCCCACCTGCCTGACCCAGGCAAATAGTTTTGGGTGCCTGGCCTCGGCTTCCCCTCCTCTTAAACAGAGGCCTGAGAGTTATGTGCTGTCTTAGTGCTACCAGGAACAGGGACTGCAGGCTGGGAGCTTAACAACAGAAGTGCAGTTCCAGAAGCTGAAGTCAGGTCATGGAGTCCCTTCTGGGTGGCGTTCTAAGACTTCTGAGAGTCTTGGGGTTCCTTGGTTTGTCTGTCTTCACACAGCCTAGCCCCATTTGTGCCTCTGTGTCTGCCTTTCCCTCTGTGAGGACTCTAGTCCCTGGATGTAGGGCCAGCCCATGCCACGTGCCTTCTTCTCAACCTCACTGCATCTGCAGCCGAGACCACCGTCAGGGACAAGAGTCAGGTCAGGAGCTATCTTGACCCACACACAAGTCAGGAGCAATAAATGAATCTGTCCCTAGCTTGAGGGAAAACTTGGTGGTGTTAGCTATTGTCCCTGGTCTTGATAGGCCAAGGGGACACTTCTGTGTTTTTCAGATGGTCATGTCACTAAGAACCTCCACCTTCATGTTTTCTTCTCTTACATGGTTACTGGTCCCTCGTCTCTGTTTAGCGGCCTCAGGGTCATTGCATCTGCTCTGGGCCAGGTCCTAGGCTGGAGTCCCTAAGACATCTCACCCTGGGGAAGGTCCCAAGCTACACCCCTTCCCCTACCTTGAAGGCAGGGTTGTGGCTCCTACACGGAGAACCTATTTCCCAGACGGGAAGGCTGAGGCTCAGAGGACATCAAAGGCCTGGCCCAGGGCAGGCATGTCACAGTGGAGCTAGACTTGAGATTAGAAGCTGGTCGGTCCTTCTGGCTCCAGTCCCATTGTCAGACAGCTGGTGACCGGTGTAGGTCGACAGCTTCACAGGCCACGTGTCTAACCAGAGCAAGTCTCGGCAGAGATGACCATTGCCTCTTTATGGCCAGGAAGTGGGTCCAGCTTTGGTGATGGCCAAGGCCTGTAAGTAGCAGAGGCCCCAACCCTGTGCCGTGTCACCCCCACCTGGCTCTGCTCCCGTTGTCTCCACTGTGTCCGACTCTCCGTCCTGAGATCCGTCCTGATTGTCCCTATGCTGCCTGCTGCAGACACCCTCTGTTTGGCCGCAACGTGCCCCTGTCCAGTGGGTCAGGCTTCATCATGTCGGAGGCCGGCTTGATTGTCACCAACGCCCACGTGGTGTCCAGCACCAACACCGTCTCTGGCCGGCAGCAGCTCAAAGTGCAGCTACAGAACGGCGACTCCTATGAAGCTACCATCAAAGACATTGACAAGAAGTCTGACATTGCCACCATTAAGATCCACCCCAAGGTGAGGCAGTACAGGCCCAGGAGGCCATGGCCTGGAAGGGTGGCTTCTTCCCAGATCTCACAGATGTGCCAGCCAAGCCTTCCCATGGGACAGCTCGGGGAACTGAGGCCCTGAGGTCACTGGAAATTTACTCACAGTCACAGGCCAAGTCAGACCTGAACCCCTGTCTTGCACAGAAGTCCCCAGGTTGGGGATTGAGCGAGACAGCCATGACTTGGGAGGAAGGGTGTAGCCCCCAGTAGGGACAGAATGAGGCCCCATGCCACTCCATACAGCGGTTCTTCCCTGTTCAACCCCACCACACTCCTGGGGAGGCATCTGTCCCCATGGTGTGACAGAGGCCAGGTGGAGAGCACTTGTACCCCATCCTGCTGGCTGACCACACAGGCCTGTACCAGGTCCACGATGACTATCCATTACCACCAGCACTACTAAAAGCCAGCGTTGGCCACTCCTCCCTTCACAGTCCAGCCCTGGGAAGAAGGGACTCTTATCACCTGGAATTTCAGAGGGGAATCTGAGTCTCTAGAGGTCACTGACCCAGGATCGCTGCTAACTATGGCAGGGCTCAGCCTGCTCGGCCAAGACCCAGGCCTCCCCCGTCCTGGTTCTCACTGAATCCAGGGTTATGGTTACAAGGCCCTGGGAGGGCCGAGGGGCTACCTGCGGCCTTCCTACATCAATTACAAGATCTCTGGGCCTCAGGCCAGGACCTGAACTCGCAGCTTCCTCTCGGAGAGGGTGAACCAGCATGGCTGAGCTTGAGTCTGGCCCTCCTGGATGAGGGTTCACAGTATCTGTGCTGAATGGTCTTTGCAGGGTCCCATGCCCAGGCAGAAGGGATGTGACAGTCCTAGGTAGCTACTCTGTGGGCCCTAACCCTCCCCACACCTGAGCCCTGCCCCAGTGACTGAGTCTGGGCCCCTCACCTTTTACAGATAGGGAAACCAAGGGCAGACTCAAGGACAGAAGTCAGCAAACTGTTGCAAACTGTCAGTCAATATTTGAGGCTTTGGTGGCCCTGTGATCTCCTCACAACACTGTTACGTTGAGTGCAGCCATGGGCCACACGATCACATATGGCTGTGCCCCAATGGAACTTGATTCACAAAATGGGCAGCAAGTCAGTTTTGGTCCAAGGGCCACTGTTTGCAACCCCTGCTCAAGGATTCTGCGGGGGAGGGAAGAGCCAAACTGGATGCCAGGTCTGTGTCTCCCCTTCTGGTCGCCATGGGACAATCATGGGTGTCCCAAGCATAGCAGAGTAGAAGGTCAGGTGGCCACCTGTACCCTAGAAACATCAGTAAGACACAGCACCTGCCCTCCAGCCACATCCCTGCATCATGAAGCCCCCTTAGCCCTGAGCCCCTCCTGGCATGGAAGGGAGCTGTGAGCCCCGCCTTCCTCTCTCTCTGCCCCCTCAGGCTCTTGGATCTCATTGTATACCTTGCAATTCTCACTCTGGCCAGTCAGCAAGGAGAAACACCAGCTCTCTGGGTCATCTTCTGGACGTGCGGCCTGGTTCCTCTCCTCCAGGACCCTGAGTCGTGACAGAAGCACCATATGTGACAGGGGCACAGAGTAGTGAGGCCCACCCAGCCCATCCAGGCCAGCTCCTACCTGCCAGCACTGGCCTGAGCCTGACCCGGAGGGCTGCCCTTTGCTCCTTCTGCAGGTCTTTTCCTTTCTTCTTTACATTATGAAAATTGCCTCTTCAGGGAAAATGTCCTGTTTGACACAGAGGCATTCCACAAAAAGGAAGCAGACCAGGCAGAGGGCCAGAGTCAAGTGAACAGCTATGCACAGATGTGTGGGAAGCTGCAGGATAGCACCAGGGGTCCCCTGGACTTCTCCCAGCTTCCCCATTGTGACATCTTACCTTACTGCTGCAAAACCAGAGCTAGGAGACTGGTATTTGGCAGAGCTAGGTGTGGGGGTGATTGGCAGAGCTCATTGGGCTTTTCCCAAAGTCACACGGATCTGTATCCTCTGTGTGACTGAATCACACAGTGCCTCAGTGTCCTCTAGCATGCCCCCGGGATCCCCTGCAGCACAAAGCATGCACTCTTCCAGCTCCCAGAATGCAGAGCAAGTCAGACAGGGCCCTCTTCTAGCCCTCAGGCCAGTCACAGCATCAGATAGTCAGATGAACAAACAGGAGGCTCTTCTGGCCCTATGTGAAACAAGAGAGGCATGTGCGAGTACCCACTGTGCAGGGGGATGGCGGGGCAGGGCTAAGCCATGTCACCTCTCCAAGCTCAGTTGCTCTATGTGTCTGTATTGGGAGATCAGATTGAGCTGTATCAAGCATTCCAAAACTGGGGTGCCCAGGCCCAGGCAGCTACAGCTCCTGCCATAGAGTGCATCCATTTGGGTGTGGTACACCAAGTGTGGTGCTGCCTGTAGCTTCTGCACACTATTACAGTGACCTGTGACCTTTAAATCCTGGGACTCAAGGACCCTAGAGGCCATGTCCAGCTGAGCCTCCACCTCATGGACTCCAGCCCTGAGTATCAGGCAGACACTGTTGTGGTCTTTGCCTATATCTGGAGCTTGCCTCAGCCTCAGGCACTGTACAGATATTTCTGGGACCACCTTTCTGAGGTCTCACTCAGTCACCTGGGCCTCACCCATGTCCACCTCTCTTCTCCTCCCCAGAAAAAGCTCCCAGTGTTGCTGCTGGGTCGCTCGGCAGACTTGCGGCCCGGCGAGTTTGTGGTGGCCATCGGCAGCCCCTTTGCCCTGCAGAACACGGTGACGACAGGCATCGTGAGTACTGCCCAGCGGGATGGCAAGGAGCTGGGCCTCCGGGACTCGGACATGGACTACATCCAGACAGACGCCATCATCAATGTGAGTCCTGGGCTGGGGAGGCTGTGCCCTAGACCTCGAGGTGGTGTCTGACTGGGCTTCCTCCCTGTCTCCAGAACCAGCCCCATCGCTCGTCACATGGGGTGTTCATCCTGTGACTGCTGCCCGTGTGCCTGGCCGCCCCAAGCACTCAGGCTGCTGTCTGATTCAGACAGTCCTTCAGAGGTGGGGTCCTGGCCCTGGGACATCTCTTCTGGCTTGGCTTGGCTTTAGTAGAATCGTGGTTATTTGGTTGTACCATTGCTGTTTACAAAGCTCTCAGCCCAGATGCCTCAGCACACGTGCTCCATGTCTGCTGAGGCTAGCCCTGCCGGGGTCATTAGAGCCTGTAGAGACCCAGAGGCAGCAGGACAACAGAGTACCTTCTGCAGATGGCTGGTGGATGATACCAGTTGGCAAGGAGTGATGACGCTGAGGCAAGTGGTTTGCACAGAGACTGCTAGGTTCAGACCCTGGTCCTCAGATGGCTGTCCACTGGCCTCCATGGTCTTAGCTCTCCTATCTGAAATGGAGACCAAGCAATTCTGGTTACCTTTCTCATCACTGACTAGAGTCAGAGAAGGGGAAGAGCTTTGAGAATCCCCTGGGAGCTCCTGACACAGCTGACACTTTCTTTCCTCCTCTTGCAGTACGGGAACTCCGGGGGACCCCTGGTGAACCTGGTGAGTGTCCCTGAGATGAATCTCTGGATTTCTTGGGCTCTTCTCACATGGGTGGGGGGCACAGCCTTGAGGCAAGGATGGGACCCACAGGATGGTCCTAGAACTTGCTTGCCCAGCAGTCAGGATGGTGCCCAGGCAGAGACCTGGAGGAGGACCCAACCACAAGGCGTGTGCTGTTCTAGACCCCTCAAGGGCCATGGTGAATGTCAGCAATGAGGAGTCTCCCGAGAACTGCAGCCCAGGCTGGGGCTGTGAGCCCTGAGGTGGAGTTTGGCAGGAAAGGCGCAGGTCTGAGGTGTCACTGCCCTGGGCTTTCTTGTCCTTGGGTGTCCTTGTGAGATGAGGGGAATGGTTTCCTTCTCTTCCCTTCCCCAGTTCTATCCTGAGCCCCAAAGTCAGGCCCAGGGTGAGATTCTTCCAGAATGAAGCAGGGAGTTCACCCTGGGCTCTGAAGACCCAGATGTATCCCCCACCCAGGGAGCTTGTCCAGGGGTGGAAGGTAGCCAGATGTGAACAAGCCCAGCCACCATGTGAGCCTCATGAGGTGCCTCATAAAGGCAGGGGCCTACTCAGAGGTGAACCAGGGAGGACTTCCTGGAGGGGGAACATCTAGCACAGGCACCAAGATGGAGGAGGATCAGATGCAGGAATCCCAGGGAAGAGGAACAGCATGTCGGGGCTCCAAGGCTGATGAACTGCAAAAGCCAGGGTAGAAGTCAGTGATGAGCCAAACGTGAGGGCTGAGCCAATGTCCCGATGGGGCTCAGGCCACCTGTGCAGGTCAAAAGCCACAGTGTTGCTAGAAGAGAAGCTGCAGTGGGCGGAACTTAGACTAGAAATCAGGAAGTCCGTGCTGTGGTCCAGCAGTGGGGATGGGCAAACAGAGGGCTAAATGGGAACACAGAATCTCAGTGCCCTTGTCCTCTACTTGACCGTCCTCCCACCTCATGAGCTCAGGGGACTAGGGGACAAAGTTGCCTTATTCAAAGTTCTGCCCAGGCAATCTGGCCAGGCCCTGGCTTGGGTGTGTGCGAGAGAGACAGAGACGGAGACAGATGCCATGCTGTGGGTCAGGTGCAGGTCCAGGGGTGCAGGCAGGCTGTGGGCAGGGCTCCTTCCCAGGAGGGATCCCAGTGGCCGGGATGGTATCTGCCCAGGTGGCACTCGTGTAGGCAGGGCAGAGTGGAAGGCAAGCTCCAAACAGACACCGTTGGGGACACTGTGCAATAGTCCTGTCCCTGTGCAGTGTCCCCCACTTCCAGAAGGGAAGAGTGGACAGGATCCCAGCCCCCATGGGCCTCAGCACATCCCTCCCTCTCTTGATCTGCCAGACATGGCCTGGTGGTGTCCTGGGTCCAGTGGCCACTGCTTCTTAGAGCAGAGGGGCTGGAGTAGGGGGGAGGCCCAAGCTACTGATTCTGCAGGGATGCTCTCCAGGGACACAGCGGAACAGGGGAGTCTCCCGGGTTAGGAGGCGAACAGTGGAAAAGGAGGTCCCTGACCCCAACAACCACCTTTTCAAGGCAGTGGGGGCTGCTCTGGGGGCGTCTCGGACACTGACAAGCAGCCTCAGCCTCTGGGGAGGGTGAGCACCATGCTTTTCGAGCAGCACTTTTATAAGAGCTCCCAAGTGACCACTCATTCTGCTCACCCTGTCCAGGATGGAGAGGTCATTGGCATCAACACACTCAAGGTCACAGCTGGCATCTCCTTTGCCATCCCCTCGGACCGCATTACACTCTTCCTCTCAGAGTTCCAAGACAAGCACATCAAAGGTAAAGAGCTCGCCTGGAGGGGCCAGGGAAGGTAGGGGCCTTCCTGGGGCCAAGGCTTCCCGGCTCATTTGCAGGTGCTGGCTGAGCCAGGCTCACTTGTGGGCAGGACCCCTCACCCTCCCCAAAGCCATAAGACCCTCAGGCTAGCTTAACCTCAGCCTCCCTTAGGGTCTTCCTCCCTCACTCTCTCCCTCCCTCCCTCCACCTATTGTCATTCTTTTGGCCTGTGGGCCATGCAGACTTCCTGGAAGGTATCCTCAATTCCAGGGAAGCAAGAGTCCAAGACCCTGGCCCTTGGAAGTCCCCTCTTGCCAGCCTCCATCTTCTCTACCCAAACAGGGATGTTCAGTCCACCTTGCCCACTCCTAGGTTGCCATTAGCATCCCTCTGGGAGAGGTCGTGCCATGGCACAAAGTGACTGTCCAAGTGAGTGCACACCAGTCACCTTTAGTTGGTAACCAAGGCCCTCTTCAGAGGAGGCCTGCAGTCCTGATCTTGAATGCTTTCCTGGTGGCCTCCCCGTCCCATTTTCATCTCAGTGAGCATCTCCCTCCCCAAGGTTTGTCTTCCATTCTTACTTCTTGGCCAATGCCTAGGTTTGACGCAACCTGCTACCCACATCTTCACGCTACCTCCCTGTCTCCATCCAGCCCCCTCACCAGCACTTCATTGAGAGCAAGGGGCTTCCTCGTGCTTGCCCCCACCTCCACAACCCTATCAGCCAAGCCCACGAACCCCAGTGCAGCCAAGACAGGTGTCATGAGAACTGGTTCCAAGAAGAATTGCTGCAGAGGACCCTGGTTCTGTTCCTAAGCGCACCTTATCTGAAGACAATCTGTAAGCAAGCAGAGCCTATCTTTCCGGAGAAGCTGAGGCTCCTTCTGTAGGACCTTGGAGACCATCTGACCTCTTGGGCTCTTTTCCTCTGGCTGCTAGGAAGCTCAGAACTAGACCCAGGTCTGCCTCTTTGTACTCTTGGACATCTTGGTCTTTTCTCTAGTGACTTTTCCAGGTTAATTATTCTCAGTTCCATGGGGTTCCCTGACATTTTGACTCCTCACCCCAGAAATCAATGGAGCCACACCTGTGCAGATGAGGCTGTGGGGTGACTGGAAATGGCTTAGTAACCCCTCTTCTGCCTCTTTTTGTCCCCTCTCTCAGACAAGAACCCTCCAGGGCCTAGGTTTGCTCTTCTGTTGCACAGAGACTGTCCCAGTTAGTGCTGACCTCACTCCAGGTTCCCTGGGAAACTCTCACCATCCCCAGAGTAAGGTGTCACCCCAAGGGCAGGGCAGACCAACCCAAGAGCCTGATAAATCTTACTGAGTAATGAGGCTACCATTTTCAAATCCTTAAGATTGTGCTTCTTTGTGCTTTTATTTTTTAAATAAAAACATTAAATGATCCAAATCCAGTTAATCTAATGTTCTTGAAAACCAACAGTCATTTTATCAAGTCAGGGAGACGCTGTTCTTACCTAGGAGTTGATGTGCTGAGGGCTCTGGGGGCTTTCAGGGTACAGACTGAGGTCATGCTGCCCTGGGGAGCCACCCCCTCGGCTGTGAACTGAGGGAGCTTCAGGGTGACAGGAAAGGCGGTGGGGGGTGCATCCCTGCCTCTGGTCACAGGCAGCCTCTGGAGGACCACATGTGGGTGGAGTCTGAGTTCCTCCCAAGCGGGGGCAGAGGAGGATGCAGTTCACCCATCCACATACAGAAGCAGGGACCACGGGTAGAAGGTGTAGGGAGGGACCGCGCCCTGGAGCCAGTGGCCCAGTCAGTGGTGTACTCTTGCACCTCTCTGTTCCTTTTCCAAGAAGGGGAGGGGACTTTGGGGCCCCTGGTACCTGAGGCCAGGCCGGCCTCTGTTTCCCACCTCTGTACCTAGAGGTCTGACCAAGCCTCAGTGTCTCACCCACAAGGCCACAAGAAAATATTTAAGTGCTTTCTCTGTGCTGTGCTCTTCCCTAGGCTGTGAGCCAAACCAGCAAAGATGTTGTTCCTCAGCTGTCCCCTAGTGGGGAGGCAGACACAGATGTCTGAGGAATGAGACTGAGAAGGCTAGGAGAGGGGCTGCAGAGGACAGGGATCCTCAGGAGACCTCTCTAAGAAGGTGACATGTGGCAGAGGGGTGTAGGCTCAGGAGATTGGGGCAGGCCCCACTAGGCAGTAGGCAGGAAGTGCTGATGTTCTAGAGATGGTCAGGTGTGGGTTTGATCAGGATCAAGGAGGCCAACGTGGGGCCAGAGAGGAGAGCTCAGAGTGGGGGTGGAAGGAAGGCTATGTGGCTCCTGCGTCAAGGGTTGTGAGGCCGCAGGAAGGTATTGAGAGTGGGATTTAAAGGAACCTGCTGGCTGATGGTGTGTGTGGAGGTTGACCGTGATCAAGAAGAGATACAGAGAGCACCAGCAACACAACTGCCTTCTCAGTGGCCTGGCTCAGGTGGTAACAGTGAACAGGGGAGACATGGCTGGATCCAGCACAGTTTGAAGGTTGAGCCAACAGGATTTGCAGAAAGGCGGGAGGAACATGGGAGCCAGGGAGGGGTCAGAGTGCTGACGATGTAGCACCTAGGAGCCAGGGGCCATTTCCTGACTGTGCTGAGGGCCCTGGGGAAGAAAATCAGAGGTGTCACAAACAGCGGGCTGGGTGTTCTTTTGCTCTGCTGTTATAGAAATTGCAGATAGACAAGGGGCAGCTCTCTCAGTGCCGATGGCTCTGAGAGAGGCTCATAAGCTTCCAAATCCAAAGACTTTTTGCTCTGGGCTTAGAGCACCGACTCCCAGTGGCTAGAGTTACAGCTCCTGAACTCCGGGTGTGGGACCCTTGGCTCCTTAACCTTGGTGGCTCTCTCCAGCTCTCTAGCCACTGCTAGTCTTGGCTCCTGCCTTCAGCTCTCCAGGCTCTGACCTTGTAACAGCAGCTCCTCCACTGTCCTTCTTGGCTTCTTGCAGATTCTGCCTTCAGTCACTCTTCAGCTACCGCCTGGTGTTAGAACTCAGAGCTTCAGAGGCTGGGTCTCTTAGTTCCCTGTGGCTGTGTGGAATTCTCAGCCGCCTCTGGGTGTTATAGCTGTGAGCTTTGCATATCAGCGCCCACAGCGTCTGGTGACTTTCTGAACTCCAGCCACCTCCTTGCTGCAGCTGCTGCCAGAACCCTGGGTTTTTGTCTGCTTTCCATGCAACCATGAAAAAGCTGCACTACCCACAATAAAGAACACAAGTAATCAAAAACAACCATCAGGGGAAAAGACCTTCATGAGGTCCTACTGGTGTGTCTGGGGGAAGAGTCTAACCTGGCAAAGCAGCAGCGTAGCCTGCTTATATAGCTAGAAAAGGGGTGTGGCACCCTTGTGCTCAATTATAACTCCACCAATTGCAGCATGACTTCCCATTCCACCAATCACAGGCCTCACATAGGACCAATCAATCACAGACCTCAAGTAAGCACAGCCTTTTTTCTGTCAATCACTGGGGGACTGCTCTTTTTCCTCCTCCTTCACCTTGTTGAAGATGGTGGTTACCAGGTCCAGGAGCAGGAGAAGGGTGGGGTCATTTGGAGGTCATAGAAGCATCTCATGGCTGAAGTGGGACTTCCCAGAACTGGTGTGAGTTTTCTGGAGTGGCTGTGACTGGAGCACAGCTTCCTTAAACAGAAGTCTGGGCTCCAGCGGCATCTCTGCCACGCTTCTCACAGCTGCAGTGGAGATGCAAAACAGCCAACTGCCCAGCTAGAGAGGGGGCTGCTTGGCTGACAGTTCCTTGCCCAAGGCTATAAGGAAAAAAATCTGTCAGCTGTTCACTCAAGGAGCCAAACTGCCAGTTCCATTAGGAGCTGTTAAGCTCCTATTTAAAGAAAGCTGTTATTTAAAGAAAGTACATACACTAAAGGGTGCTTACAGTAAACACCTGTCATGGAAATAGCAGTCTCAGCAGTGCTGAGCAGTGCTTAACTCCTGCCAGATACCCTTAGGGAGACTAGACCTGACCATCTTGGATTAACCCTCATGCTCTTGAAATCCTGGAGCTTTGCCCTTGCTGTTGTTTTGAGGGTTTTATGGAGGTAGAATTCACATAGCATACACTTAACCATTTGAAGGGCACCATCCAGTGGTATTTACTGAAACTGCCATGCTAGTCCCAAAGCCTGCTCAGCCACAGGTCACCTGTGCCACTTGTGTTGCCCCTACCCCCTTACCATCTTGCCACTGTTTTATTGCCATCCTTGATGCTCCTCTCCATGTACTCCAAGGGGACACATGCTAGAAATAAAGAAATTCAAGGCCTCCCCCCACCCACCCCATCCCCTGGCCTCTTTCAAGCTAGGCATGCTAAAATGCCTCATTCAGATGATTTTCCCATAGAGACAGGGACAGAAAGGATTGAGGTTTTACCATTTCACTGGCTTTATTCTACCAAGCCACCCCACTCTGTACCCCTGTTCCTCCCACTGGCATCTCTCGAGAGCTGGCCTCTGTGGCTCGGCCTTCGGATCTGCCACGTGGGTGGACACTGGAGGTCCTCCTACCCAGGGACATCCCTGGCTTCAGAGGTGGCCAAAGGCTACACCTCATCCAGAAAGGCACCCTTCACTGCAAGGGGCAGGCCCTGCTCCCCACACACATGGGAAGCTGAAGCCTCATGCTTTTTAAATGTTGGTCCAGGCCTGTGAGCCAGGCTGACTGGCAGGCCATGTCTGAGGTGGGGCAGCTAAGAGGGCCCATCATCCAATCTCAGGGATTTAGCACCTGCTAAATCCTAAATTCACACCTCCAGTCTGGCCTTTCCCCAGTTCCAGACTGGACATCTTGTGGGTGTCAGGGAGCCACCCCACCCCTAGGGGATGCCCGCTTCTGCACCCCCCCAGCCCCTCAATGAAGAGCAGTCCTCTCCTTTGGTGTGTCCACACCCTCATCCTGTCCACCTGAAAGTCCTTTGGCTCTACGTGCTGGACCTACTGCACCTGGCCCATTACCACTCCACCTCTATCACCTGTCCCTGCCACCAGAGTGCTAGCAAACCTGGGTTATTGTCTCTCTGCTGCTCCTGCTGCCCCTTTCCACAGCCCGGGTGAGGGTGGACTTCAGAATTAAAGCAGCCTATTAAATCATGTCTTGTGGTTCAAGTAGAACCCAAGCCTTCCGTAGTCAGCCACACCCCATCTCCCATGTAGCCTATTTGCCATCCCTTAATCTTTGGTGAAGTGTCTGTTGACATATTTTGTCCATTAAATTTTTTAAGTTGTTTGTGTCCTCATTAGTGAGGCCTCATGTGTTCTTTATGCATTCTGGATAGGAGCCCTGATAAGATAAGTGAATCCCAAGACCATCTGTCTTTTTGTTTTCTCTGCAGTATCTTTAAAGAGAAGCTTTGTAAATCTTGATAAAGTCTAGTTTTTTTGGTAATGGATCATGCATTTGATGCTGTATCTAAGGAATTTTTGCAAACCCAAGATCAGAGAGATATTTCTCCCAGAAGTTTTACTTTTTGAAGTTTCTGACTTAGAACTATGATGCGTTGTGAACTTTTTTAACAGTGCAAAGTACAGGTCAAAGTTTTAATATTGTGCATATTTGCATTGAATACTTAATTGTTCTAGCACCATTGCCTACAAAGTCTGCTGGTATTTTGATTGGGATTGCATTGACTCTATAGATGAATTTGGGGAGAACTGGTATTTGAGCAGTGTTACATCTTCTGACCCCTGACCACAGAATATCTTTCCTTTTTGTAAGCCTTCCTTTACTAATCTCAGCAATGTTTTATTATTGCTAGTATAAAGGTCAATTTCTGATGGTTTGTTACAAGAATATACAAATAAAATTGATTTTTGTATGGTGATCATGACATTTCCTGCAAACTTGATAACATGAGTTGTAGTCTTTTGTAGGCAAGCAGATCATGTCTCGTGGTTCAAGTCGAACCCAAGCCTTCTTGTAGAGGCTTTTTGTACAGTCAACTAGATTTTCTACACAGATGGTTGTGCAGTCTGTAAATAAAGACAGTTTTACCTCTGCATTTCCAAACCAAATGCCCTTCCTTTCCTCCCTCCCTTGCTCCCTCCCACCCCTCTTCCCACCCCTTTCCGTCACTCCCCTCTTCCTTCCTTCCTTCCTTCCTTCCTTCCTTCCTTCCTTCCTTCCTTCCTTCCTTCCTTCCTTCCTGCCTACCTGCCTGCCTAGAATATGGAGTAAAAGTGACAGGAGTGGACATCCTTGTCCACTTCCTGCTCTTGGAGAGACTCCATTCAGTTTTTCATCATTAAGAATGAAGTTAGGTAGAGGTTTTTCTGTTGTTTTTTTTTTAAATAAATGTTTTTTTTCAGGTTGGAAACACCCCCTTCTATTTCTGGCTTCTGTGAGGAAAAGGTGGAATTTCACCTGAAGCTTTCTGAGCCTCTATTGAGTACATTTTCCTTTTCAGCTTATTAATGTGGTACACATTGTATCAGCTGGTTTTTTTAACATTAAACCAACTGTGCATTCCTGGGATAAATCTCACTTAGTAGTGATGCACTATCCTTTCTGTGTATTGTCGGATTCGATTTGCTGAAAGTGTTTCAAGAATTTTTGTATCTGTCTTCATGAGGGATAGTGGTCTAGTTTACTTTTTTGATTTGGGTGTGGAGATGATGAGTTGGTGCATAGTCACTCATTTTCAGTATCCTGGAGGGATCTGTAGCTTCCAGGCTAGCGTTTCCTCCTTAAGCCACTGGTAGAATTTTTTAGGGGACCATCTGGGACTGAGGTTTTTTAACCACAAATTTAGCTTCTTTAATAAGTTTAGGGCTCTTTGGGTTGTTTATTTCTTCTTGAATGACTAAGTAGTTTGAAATTTTCAGGAAATCCGTTCATTTTATGTGATGTTAAATTCATTGCATCACTGGTAACTCTTTTTTATTTTATTGTTGTGATGGGGTACATTGTGGCGTTTACAAAAGTTCTTACAATGTATCAAACGTATCATGCTGGATTCGCCCCATTGGTTACTCTCAGTGGGCAGCAGGGACAGTAGGGTCAGTAGTGATGCTGCTTCTCGTTCTCATGCTTCTCTCTTTTTCTTATGATCACAATGGCTAAAGGTTTATTAATTTGATTAATCTCAGTGAATCAGCTTTTGTTTTATTTTCTCCTTTCTGTTTCTTTGATTTAACACTTATTGTCATTATTTCATCTCTCCTGCTTACTTTGGGTTCGTTTGGCCTTTTTTTCTAGATTTCAATATGGAAGTCAAAGCCATTGATTTGAGACCTTCCTTCTTTTCTTACATAGGCACTATGTACTATCAATTTTCCTCTAAGTACTGCCTCCATGCCCTACAAAATTTGATGTGTTACATTTGAAAACACTTTCTGATTTCCCTTTGAAGATGGACTGTTTAGAAGTGTTACTTAGTTTCCCAGAATTGGGGAACTTTCTATCTTTTGATTATTGATCACTAGTTGAATTCTGTTATGGTCAGGATTTTTATGAAATGAAAATACAAACTTGCTGAACCTTGTTTTATGGTTCGGAATCTGTTCATGTGATTTCTAGGTATAAGACACCTACAGAGTCACAGACTGGAGCAGCAGGGGGTGGATTAGTGCTCACCGGGTGTCATCGTGTTGTTACTATTTATAGGAAGGCAAAGAAAGATATGAGTTCAGTTCCAAGCAAGGACATGGTGGGGGGGTCAGCATCATAGAAAGTGAGAGGAGATCCCACTGGCCACTGGGGTTGTGTGGAGTTCATCTGGGAGTGCAGGTGTCAGAGCTGAGGGGTTGGGTAGAGGATGGGGTGGACACGAAACCACTTAGGAAGAACCAGACTAGGACTGGAACGTCTCCAGCTCTATGAGAGTGGTCAGGAGGAGAGAGGCAGCTCTAGACACCTAGCCAACTGGAACTATGCTACTCAACAAGATGGCCCCTGCTGCTTCCTGGTCCTGTGGGGCAGTTTCTGTCTGTCCCCTGTGTCTCCCTGGGGAGGGCAATGACTTCACAGCCGCCTTAATCCAGTCCTGTTGGGTTTTGTTTTCAGACTGGAAGAAGCGCTTCATCGGCGTAAGGATGCGTTCCGTCACTCCAAGGTGAGGCTGCAGGTGCTGCTGTCCAGCTTGGTCCCTCACCATGCTGTCTTTCCACACCCTGTTCTGATGGGCCCAGACTGGACCCGCTGCTGAATGCTTTTCCCCACTCCACATGATAGATTCCTTCTCTCCTTTGGGATCCCATCTGTATGTGCCCTCCTCCAGGAAGCCCTTTAGATGCATTTCTTGGGGTTGCCACAAAAAATTATCACAAACTCAGTGGCTTAAAACAACCAAAATATTTCATCTCATGGTTCTAGAGGCCGGAAGTCTGCAATCAGGGTGTCAGCAGGGCTGTGCTACCTGGGAGGATCCTTCCTGCCTCTTCTAGCTCCTGGTGGCTCCAGGAGTTTCTTGGATGGTGTTCATGTCAGTTCCACTCCCTGCCTGACTCCTGGCCTCCTCCTCTCTGTGTCCAAATCTTCCTCCTGTTTCTCTTATGAAAATACCAGTCATTAGATTCAGGATCCACCCTAAGTCCAGGATGATTTCATCTTAAGACCCTTAACTCATTGCATCTGCAAAGACCTGATTTCCAAACAAGGTCACGTTCTGAGGAATTCGGTGGACATGAATTTGGGTGGGGGGAGCACTGTTGTACCTCCCCAGGCCACTTAAGGGAGAAGAGCTGCATCCCCTTTGCATAGCCCTGGCTCCCCACCCACCCACCCCAGCATTGTACTCGCCCCAGTGTGTTATAATCTCCTGCTTCTGGGACCTCCCACCCCGCCTGCCTACTTGACCAGGAGTTCTTGGGAGCAAGGACCTGTGTCCTCCCCACCCCCTCAGCTCTGCCCAAATGGAAGTCTGTAATGAGGCAGCCGCCTCGAAACACCAAATGAGCATGATACATAAGGGGGTTGGACAAGGAGGAAAGAAGGAGGGAGGGAGGGAGAGCGAGAGGAGGAGATGGAGGGAGGGAAGGAAGGAGGGAGGGAGAGAGAAGAAGAGATGGAAGGAGGGAGGAAAGGAGGTAGAGAGAGGAAGGAGGACGTGAAAAGTCAAGTCTGAAGATCTGAAGCAGGAAGAAGTCACTGCATTGTGGAGTTCTGGGAAGAACTAAGGAATGTCCCACTGACTGTCTCCTAAACCCATGCAGCCTCTAAGATCTTTCTTGCTGCTTCGGTAGCAACTAACCTGGGCAGAACTTTGTTGTGTTATTTTCCCTTTCCTCCTCCCACCATCTGTCCAGTTTTCTCAGGCCATTCCATGACTGACCCATTATTGTCTGTCCATTCATCTCTCCTTCCAGCTGTCTGTTTAGCCTTCATTCTTTCCCTCCCTCCCTCCCTCTATCCATCCATCCATCCCTCCATCCATCCATCATCCATCTCTCTTCCCTGCTGCCTTCCGTCCGTCCTCGCACGCATCCTCCCATCTAGCCATCCACTCCCCCTCCCTCTCCACGCTCCCAGCCAGTCATTGCCACTCCTGAGCATCTCATACCTGTCCAGAGGGGGCCAGGTGCTCAGAGGCAGGAGAGGGCAGTGTGGGATCCCAGAGGAGGCTGCTTGTCTGGCCTGGGTGGTGGTGGGAAGAGGGCAGCCAGCTTGGAAGCTCAGAGAGGTCTTATGCAGAACTGTCTTTTCAGTTTGGTGGAGGAGCTGAAGGCCAGCAACCCAGACTTTCCAGCGGTCAGCAGTGGAATTTATGTGCAAGAGGTTGTTCCAAATTCACCTTCCGAGAGGTAAGCTCTGCCAGAGGAGGCAAGGAGGCCGGATGGGAAGCAGTCAGACATTCTAACGGGTGGGGATGGGGTGGGTGGGGTCTGGGTTGACTAGACCTCCTCCACTGGCCTTACATGACCTGAGCCTCCTAAAGTGATATGGAGGGGCAAGATGGATTGTGGCCTCTCTTCGAAGCCAAGAGAGGGCTGGAGAGGTGACCTGGCCTCAGAGCCTTGGCTATGCCTGTCATTGGCCCAGAGCGACCTTTCCTTCAGGAAGCAGAGGCTGAAGAGTCCCCGCCTGGGCCAAGGGCCAGAGCCTCACCCTCCCCAACTGGGGGTCTGACTTGGGTCTCTGTGAGCCTCAATTTCTGCATCCGTAGAGATGATTCTGCCTCTTTCTACCTCCACAGACCTTGTCAAGATCAAATGCTTTCTTTGAAATTGTCAGGTTCCCAAAGGTGCTAAGTATTGCAACACCATAGGCTGAGGCAGACAGTCCACCATGTGACCACACCCTGGGACAGTTGGCCATTCCCCAAGAACAGGTCCTTTCCCTCCTTGGTCTCCATCCATGCCAGGGTGGACTGGATCACATGAGGGGTTTTAAACTGTGATCCTGGGCGCTAGAGAAACCCTGTTGGTGTCCTGGCTGCTGTGAGGAGGAAGATGGGGCCTGTGTGACCTTCCGTGATAAACACAGTTCAAAACTCATTTTCCTATCTATGCCACTGGTGAAAGTGTGCTACTGGTGTGAGCGCTTTGTGGCCAGGGCACAGTTCTTTCCTGCAGAAATGATTTTGTTAGCTGTCTGCTGTTGACTCCAAGCGTGCCCCACAGAGCCTGGGCTTTGTAAACATGTGAGTAATGACTGGGTCTGTTCTGTTGGCAGAGGGGGCATCCAAGATGGTGACATCATCGTGAAGGTCAACGGGCGCCCCCTGGCGGACTCCAGTGAGCTGCAGGAGGCTGTCCTGAACGAGTCCCCACTCTTGCTGGAGGTGCGGAGAGGTAACGATGACCTCCTCTTCAGCATCTCACCTGAGGTGGTGGTGTGAAGTGGGGCCGCCTCCCCTCAGCGCCTAGCACCAGAGCCTGCAGACCGTGGGCTTGTGGCCTCCCCAGGATCAGGACGAAGGACCGCCATGGTCCTCAGCAGGGCCAGTAACCTCCTCCCAGTGTCCAGGGTAGAGCCCAAGGTTGGGCCTGGTCAGGGGTCTGAATCTCAACCTTGACCCCAAATCCCAGTGCTATGAGGAAAGCCCGATATCCCCTGGTCCAGGTGCTCCTGACCCTCCAAGTTCCCAGGAATCTAAAAGCTCCTGAGGTTCCTTGGACATGTGCCCCTCCCTCAGCTTCCGGCCTCTGTACCTGTTATCCCTCTGTCTGAGGCCCACCCTGTCCCCACCCATCCCACCAAGCCTCCCCAGGCCTCCTTCCCCACTGACACCTCTCAGACCCCGTCTCCAGGCTTCCCTCTGTGAAGCATGCCCACTTGCTTGTAGGACAGGGGCTGTCTGCCCGCCACCTGCAGTCCCTGCAGAGCAGGCTGGGCACAGTGGAGCCCCTGGAGGAGCCAGGGGCTAATGGCCCTGACCTGGAGCAGGCACCAGTGAGTGGCCCCCATTGTGGCGCCCAGCCCTGCACTGGCCATGAGGGTTTCTACCAGCCAAGCAGGAAGCAGCAGGGAGCTGAGCGTAATGGACACACTTGGCCTGCTGCCCAGACACCTTCGTCTTCCCAAGGTGACCACAGAGCAGCAGGAGAGAAAGCTGGGACCTGTCGGGGGTGTGAGGACTGAGCCGCTTCACCTCCCCTTGCAGCTCTGGGGCGCAGTAGCCACCCTGAGGGACTGCCACCCAGAAGCTGTGGCTCGCACGGACCTCTCCTCGCTGCGTGTGTTTCTAGGGATAGTCGTGAGCTTTGCTGTAAAGTCCACCCCAGTGTTGCTTGTACTGTATGTTTCTCTACTGTACGAAATTAAAGTTTACAAGCACGTGCTTCTCGGCTAGCGGGGCGCTTGGGGAAGCTCACCCCCCCACCCACTGGCCAGGGCTTTTCCAGGGGAGCCACACCTAACACATGGCTAGTCACGTGAGCTAAAAGCTGAGCGATGGCCTCTCAGGTGTATATGACAGCCAAGTATCACAGCACGGAGACACAGCAGCCCCAGGGCCATCTCCAGGGTGGCCTCATGTCAGGCTGCTAAGGGACAAATCCCAGCTACTCCACTTACTTCCTGATCTGAGATCCTGGGAAAGAGGCATCCTTCTCCCTGCCTTGGCCTCTCCCCCTCTCTGAGGAATAACTGGTCCTGCTCCTGCCTGGTTGTTGTAGGAGATGAGGTTATCATGCCAAGCCCTTGGAAAGGCACCCAACTTCCAGCAAGCCCCCAAATCTTTACCATGTGTGCCTAGTCACCTGGCAGACTTTCTTTCCATCTTTCCAGCAGCAGAGAAACTGGCTGAAATATTTAAAAAGCAGCTATGCATTGTGGCAAACACCTGTAATCCCAGCTACTTAGGAGGCAGAGACAGGAAGAATGCAGTTTGAGGCTGGCCCAAGCAAAGTTAGCAAGACCCTATCTGAAAAACGAAACTAAAAATGAAAAGGACTGGGGTACGGCAGTAGTAAAATGCTTCCAGCATGAAGGGGGTCCTGAGTTCAAACCCCAGCACCAGAAAGAAGGATTAAGAAAACAGACTGTCCAGGGGCATTTCCAGCACAGCTGGATGCAGGCATTGAGCTGTGAATTTGTCCAGAGGGCTTAGAGTGGCTACTGGAAGCATCAGGGCTGAAAAGGAAGGAACCCAGGGCTGTGGACCCATGCTTGTGCTCTGGACTACAGAGCCAAAAGAAATATGGCACCTTCTAGCCCAACCCGCACACGGGAGGATCTGGGCAGCTGTGAGCACAAGATACTTCTTCCTCCAGGATGGGGACTGTAGAGCTTCAAAGTCCCTCCAAGCTTGGTAAGCCTGGGGTCCCACAGGCCCAGATTTTAAACTGCCCTCCCTGGGGTTCCAGTTGGCTGGCTTCAGATGCCTAGGGCAGAAGTTGGACCTGTTATGCCCTTTCAGGACACATGAAAGTTTCCTGGAGACAGGTCCCCAGCATTGGTGGCCCTGAGTGGTGGCTGCCCATGTGCACTGTGGCCAGCTAGAGGGAAAAGTCTGAGGGGAGCAGCTGTACCACACCTGAAAAGGACCAGAAAGGAGTGACAAGCAACTTTGTAAGGAAGATGCCTGAATAATCAACTCGTCATTCCCAGCTTGGAATCAGCAGACTCAGGCGACCTCGGCACCCACCATGCTCCCCACACAGGCCCCAGCCAGCCCTGCTGGGAACAGGTGCCAGGGGCAGAGACCACTGACAAGTCACTTCCCAACCTGTGTCACTTCAGGCAACAGTGTCCCACTGGACACCTGCATCCACTGTGGCACTGCCACCCCTTTTCTAGTGCATCCCCTGCCAGTGTATTCCAAGGAAGTCGAAGTCCAAGCCAGAGCCTGGTGCAGCCTACCCTGTGGCTATTCTTCTGCTCCCACCCCAACAGGCTCTGTCTCATCCTCACCCCTACACTAGACCAGTACGAATGTCCAGAGGCTGTCTGCCCTGCTCCATTCCTGGAGCCAGGGCTCCTGCTCCTGACATACTGAAGCCCCAAGAGGGGCCCCTTTTTCCTGCATCTCTGTCCTGGGTTACAGTGAGGAGCCTGCAGGAGCTGGGCAGGTCCAGGGGAAGGGACCCCTATGTTGGCTGGGCTGAGGAAGGAGGGAGATGGCTGTAGAGCCTCAAGGACTGGACCTTGTCTGAGAGGCTAGCACCTAAGTGAACAGGGAGGGTTTGGATCTGGGCTTGGGGTTGCTAGGTAAGCCATAGCCCCCACTTCTGGAGACCCCCGGATCTAAGGGGTCATGGGTCCCCAGAACCACGTCCTGCCTGTTTGTGCTGATACTGCGCGGAGCAGAAGCCCTGCTCCATTCCTCAATGTCTGTCACCACCTTCAGGGGAGCAGCCTTGACACCTCGGCTCAGTCCTTCCCCTCCCTTCTGCCTCTATCTCTGTGCAGCTGACAACAGTGAACTTGAAGACATCACTAGCCCTCTGCCAGCCCACTCCACCAGGCTGAGCACTCCGGGGCCTGTCTGGACCCACCACTGGCACAAGTACCAGGGCCCCTGTAAGCCTCCTGGAGCCTCTCCTTCAGCCTGAGACTCGTGCAGGGCTGTGGCTAGGAGGCTGTGTTCACGTGACCCTGGTCACCCTACCTGTCTGAGCCTGTTTCCCTCCCCATCTTTCAAATTGAGCTAATTAAATACTATTTACCCTACAGTTTGGGCTCATCTGAAAGATGAACAAGGAGGCAGCCCTAAATGAAATGGCACACCAGGGGTTCCTGACTTAAGAGTCTGGCCTCAAAACTACTGTCCCAATGTCACCCCTTCTCCCCTGCACCTACCATCCCATCGCTCCTCCCCTTTCTGGCCTCAGGTTGCCTGTGTATGAAATGGGGAAGTAGGGGGTCTTTGAGCTCAGTGGGCCTGGCTGTTGTCTCAGCTTCGACACTTTCAGGCCTTCAGACCTGAGCTGCCGCATCCAGGAAGGCTGTAGCTGTTTCTCCCCAGGAGGATGCTGGTTCTCAGACAGCTCTCACTGATGCCAGGGGCTGCCCGTCCACGGACCCCAGAGGCCCTGCCTTGGTGGAAGTAGACCTGTGGCATTCAGGCTGAGTTCCCCAGCCCCCATCCTGATCATCCCTGCTGGGCGGGCTGACCTCCCAGCTGCTCCTCCAGCTGTAGTCAGTGAAAAAACCAACTTTTTCAGAGCCTGCCAGCTGCCGCCAGAGAATTATGCAAGTCTTTGAGCTCCCACCCACCCCTTCTCGACGTTTCCCGTGAGGCTGTAAATAGAGGTGCTCACGAGGTTACCCTGATCCAGCCTGAGGCCCCGGTACACACCTGGAATCCAGCAAGCTTAGGGCCCTGTGTCCAATGTTCCTCTTGCCTCTGGGGAAACTGAGGCCCAGATAGGGGTTAGGACTTGCTCTAGGTCACAAGGGAACCAGTGGCTGGCCTCCAGGTGACCAGGGTTGTGCTCTGCCTGCCCCTTAAGCAGCTGTGGTCACAGCTGCTGCAGGACAAACATCCGCTCCCAGCAAGGATGTGTGGCGTCAGCCAGTACCTACAGTTCCTTCCCCAGCAGCTGACCTGTGGGACTCCATCCTCCTCCCTCCTCCCCAGTCCTCTCTGCCACATGGTAACCAAAGATGAAAATTCTGGAATGAGTCACCGCCTAGGGGAGTATGGGATTCCTGTCTGTTCCCTAGCATTGAGCAGTGCATGGGGAGAACAGGTCCAGGGCAGCTGCCTGCACAGGTGCCAATCTTTTGTCCCGCCCCAGTCACTCCTCCCCTCCCCTACAGCCCCAGGGCTTCCCTGGCCTTGGTCCAAGCTTCTCAGGCCTTCTGGGATCTGGCTGTTGCTGTCTGACTAGCCTCAGCCTTTGTACAGGGGCTCCTCTGAGTGGACCTCCCTCCTAGGCCCTGTACACCTTCTCCTCACTGACCATCCCTTCCAGATGTGCCGACAAGTGTCCCCCAGGGGTGTCCACATTGTAACCCTAGAGCCTCAGGATGTTATCAGAGATGAAAAAAGAGACTTTATACATGTCATCCAGTTAAGCATCCTAAAGCAGGGCTTATGATCGTCTTGGACAATGCAGCAGGACCGAGGCCATCACAGGTGACCTCTAAGGTCACACAGGAAAGGTCAGGCAGACAGGAGATGTGATGATGGAAGCCAGCAGTGGGAGCTGTGAGGATGGACTATAAAGACAGGGAAAGGAGTCTCTTCCTGAGCCTGCAGAAGGAACCAGCCCAGGAAGACTCCTTTTAGGCCTCTGGCCTTCAGGAAGGTAAGAGAAGGAGTGTGTGTTGTTTTCACCCACCAAGTGCGTGGTTGTCACTTGGAACCAAGGAAGCGCCTATGCTTTAAAGCAACTTCAGTCTCTCCAGGAAGCCATGCCACAGGGTGAGGACCCTGGGTCATCACTGGCTCTGGTCACCCAGCTTCCTTGGATCCTGACCTTTTCTTTCCCTGAGCCTTGGCCCCTGAGCTCACACACTTCATTTAATCACAGCTGTGTCCCCAGAGCGGCCCCCAAAGCCTGACCAGGGCAGGTGCCAGGGAATCTATTTACTGCAGGCATGACCCAGAAGCTCATTTTAACTGGAGTTCTGGGGGTCATGCTTACCACATGGCTCTAAGCCAGACCTCATGATTCACTATCAAAGAATGCCAGGGGGTCCTGGGAGATGCAGGAGAGGTGACAGTGCTTCCTCATCATTACTGGCCTCTCTGAGCTCTGGAGTTCTGTCTGAAAAATCAAGAACCAGCTTCCGCTCTGCAGATGTCCCCTGGACAGAGCAAGCACATGAAGCCCCTGCCCCCACCCAGCCATCAGCGAGCCCTCGCCTGGGTCCCCACTAGGCTCCGGGCCATCCAAGTCAGGGGAGCCTCCAGGAGACCTGGAGGCCCTGGCCTCACCTCACAGCCTCCACCTCAGTCCTGCTCCCTCTCTCCACTTCAGAAGAAGCCCTGCTTCCAGACTCTGGGGCCACCCTCCCTGGTCCCTACAGGAGCTGGACCCCCTAGCTCTCTTCTCATCAACTGAAAGGTACCTCTTCTCAGCCTGCCCTCATCCTCCTCTGATGTCCTGTCCTCATCCCACACGGTCACAAGCTGCTCCCACCTCCCTGTGCCCTTAGAGCTGAATTCTACCTGTACAGGTCCCAAAGAGTGATCAGAGGGGGCGGCTACTCCAAGTGTGGGGGAAGGGGACAAATGTAAGTATATGCACAGAGCACGCGTGCACACGCTCACAGCTCCTATGGATACCCGTGCACGCTGAGATGCATGTATTTCAGGCACAGTACACACTCATGACACACAGCTCTCAGACACGTGTTCAAAGCCCCTGGACACCCTGAGGACTGGCAGGCTTGAAGTCTTTGTTTTTCAAAGTTATTCTCATTGTCAATGTCACACAAGAGTTCACTGTGTCATCACAAAGCAAACTCCACACTGCATCCCCCAGTCAAGAGACAGCACAGACACCCTAGAACCTCTCTCCA